ACTGATATTAAATATATAATTATTTAAATTACTCACCTTTGGAAAGCATTTACTAATACGTGGTTCTTCAGAATCATAAACGTTAATAATATTTCTTTTGTAAATATTGTAATTATTGGTATTCATTTTGAAAATATTTTTATAAAAAAATAAAAAAATAAAAACAAAAAAAAAAAAAAAAAAAAAAAAATATAGTCAATATATATATATATAAAAATAAATATAAAACGTGAATTGCACGAATCAAAGCTAAGGAGCTCGTTGAAAATTACTTTTTCGGGGGGTTGGCTTTCGATCGTGTATCAGCCCACCATTAAACAGAAATTGATTGGTGGTAAATGTGATATATGATTAGACAAATTAGTAATGATCGACTGTTGATAATTTTTTGCAGGTGATATAATCGGAGTGAGTCAAATCGGCACATATTACGTGATGATTAACCAATAGAAAACTTTATTTATAAGTTATTGTGCTTTGCAACGATTAATATCAAAATTATTTATCAACGCAAGCACAATAACGATATTATCGTGTGATTTTATGATGTTGACTTAAAATTATGAAGAGAAGTTCATTATCATTCTCTTTCTCGTCATTTATACTAAAAAAATTGAAGAAACACACGAAAAAAGGTAAACTATTTGCTTTCTTATGATAAGTTTATAATTAAACAAATCTTTATTTTTAGGCGAATTATACTTTTGAATAGCCTACTTACTATAAAGAAAATCTTAAAATATTTATAGAAGACGAATTGCTTGATTCAATACAACCAATAACACTGCTCCGAATTTTTTGTAACACAATAAGTTACAAAATTTATATTCACATGTCAGATGAATTGATAAGAATAAAAGTTTATCCGAAAAAAAAAACCCCCCAAAAATCACCCAATTTAACCCAAATTAGATGAATTTTCATCTAATTACATTGTTTTATGGGAAACTTTTTTTTTTTTATCGTATATCCGCAATTTTCACTTTTATCAAAAATGGCACTGGGAATTTTTTAAGATTTTCAATGCATTTTTGTTTTTTGATTTAGTTTATTAACCGGATGCTTTTCCACCAATGAAATTAAAAAATATTTATGAGAAAATTTTTTCCTTTTCAACCTTTGCTAATAACCTTTAATAATGAACGTACGAGATATCACGCCTCAGAATGTTTCATCTGAAAATGAAATTCCACTAAAGACCAATCCTCTTTATAAATTAATTGAAACACAAGCAAATCGGTTTGAAGAATTTGGTAATCAAATGAAGTTACAATTACATACATTATATCAAGAATATACCAAACAACGAGATGAAACTTTGAAAAACAATTTAATCGAATTTGAAAAAATTGGAAAGATGTATCAAAAACAAATTGAGTCTCAATCAGAATTAATAGATCAACTGATAGTTCGTATTGAAAATTTAGAAATTAGTTCAAATAAAAAAGATCAAGATGTTGGAAATCTTAAAGAAGATTTTAATAATTTTCTTAAATCGAAGAAAGAAATCAAAGATGTGGGATTAAAGGATGACGTTTTGGAACCTTCAAAGTCAAGCCATGAGGAATCAACAAATAACTTCTCTTCATGTTTCACAAATAATTATAATCTTTCATCCCCCTCTTCTTTAAAAATTAATTCATTTGATCAAGAAAATCAAGAAACTGTTTCCAAACTTGAACGGATTCATACCCAGCTTCAACAACTTGTCACACAAAAAGAAACCTTTGGTTTTAAAATTAGGTTAAAACATATTAAATCTTTTGTTCGCAAAAATTCTTTTACGAGCGCGGATTTAATTCAATATACGAAAGCAAGTAATTTTAATTTACTAAATGACGAAACTAAAATTTTGATAAATCGTCTCATCAAAGAAATGTCATCAAATGAAAATAATACTAGAGAGTTGAAACAGCATCACGCACAAATGATTACCGAAGAAATTGAAGGTTCGAATTTGGAAAATAATTTGGAAAACGAGAATTTAAAACCTTCAAAGACAACCGATGATGAATCAGCATATTACCTCTCTTCATGTTTCTCAGATAATGATAATCTTTCATCCTCCTCTTCTTTAAAAATTAATTCATTTGATCAAGAAAGTCAAGAAACTGTTTCCAAACTTGAACGGATTCATACCCAGCTTCAACAACTTGTCACACAAAAAGAAAACCTTGGTTTAAAAATTAGGTTAAAACATATTAAATCTTTTGTTAACGAAAATTCTATAACGAGCGCGGATTTAATTCAATATATGAAAAAAAGTAATTTTAATTTACTAAATGACGAAACTAAAAGATCTATATATCTTCTCGTCGAAGAAATGTTGTCAGAATATGAAGATATTATTACAAATGAAGGTAATACAACAAATGAAAATAATGCATCAAAGTTGGAACAACTTCACGCGCAAATTATTATCAAAAGTAAAATTAGAGGTAAAAGTATTAAAAGAAAAGATCTTACTTTTCTATGTAGACCCTCTAAATTTAATATTTTAATTCCTTATACAAAAACTCTTTATTTCGATTCTTTAAGTAAAAAAATTAAATATTTTTTAAATATTATTATTAATGACGAATTACAAAAAGAATTAATTCCGCTAGAATTGAAGCTTTCTCAAAATTTAGAAGAATACATTAAAAGAGATTTGATTCCACCATTACCAGCAGGATATGATAGTTACGCTGAGTATAAAAATAGTGATATTTTTCGTTCCTTATCCATAAGCCAAAGATGGAAAGTTAGTAAATTAGTTAAGTTTCAAGAGGAAAAGATAAAAATTGACGAGCAAATAAAGGAAGATTTAGCAAAGGATGTTTTGATTTTGGATGGAAAAGAATTCAAATTTATAAGTTAATGAGAATTTGTTAATTTTTCTTATATTTATATACTGTATATGACTTATTTTTACTTTTTACTATTTACATATATTTAATAAAATGTGCAAAACTAAATAAGCTCTATTCTATGAAAATTTTGAGGTTCATTCATTCATTTTCGGTACATTACTTGTTTGCCAGAAATTCGTTAAATGTCTCAAAGAAGATTAACATAAACCGAATTGTACGATCAATGATTTTTCATGATTCTTATCTGGCATCAGACAAGCAAATAATGTTTTGATGGTTGGAATCTTTTCGAAATATTGCCATCGCGTTCAATCATATATATGATCAATTCTCATTTGAATAATTTGCATTAGCAAACATATCAATCATCATGCCAGGTAATAGGATTTTTTTTTTTTTTTTTTGCTCACGTAGATTTTTAAATTATATTTCTTTATAGTATCATATCTTCTTTCCACACTTTTAGTCAATCTATTAGTTGCCACTTATGTTGAGTTCGAATATCAAGCATCTTTACTAAGGAAAGAAAAGTACATTACTTCGATTATTCGAATACTTCTTTAACACGTATTCTATCAATTGATTTGAAATGATATAGCTATTCTTAATAATTCATTTGACGATATTGATAGGTTCCTAATTCTGGAGAATCGCTTCTTTTTCAATTTCAAAAGTTTCCAAACACCAACTAATAGGGTAATCTCATATTAAAAATTATTTCTCACATAAATATTTATTGATTGATATAATAAATGCGTAAAGATAGTAGTAGTAATACATTAACAAAGATCATCATAATTTTCTTAGTGACGCCTGTTGTGACTTATTTTAAGCGAGTTATGGACAGTGTTATATCGCGGTCTTCTTTTACCTTTTGCTGACTGAATTTCTCCATTTGTCCTTTTTTATTTTTCGTGGTTCATAACCAACCACAGAATCAACCAGATCCTTTCGATTTGTGATATTACAACAGATTGTTGGGACAAGCCAGTTGATTATTATTATTAATTTGTTTTTTAAAAAATATACAACTCCAGATATCTGCAATAAAAAAAAAGAGGATGAGTACATGACAAAGCCACTACACACATAGGATTTTGATTTAAAAACCATTACACGTAACTCAAGTTACGTCTCGTACCTAATTATCATCGCGTACTTGAGGTGCAATAAAAGACAATCAAGTCGCTAGAAAAGGAGAGAAGCCTTACTCATTGTACATTTATGTCGTCACTAGTATTTTGATAGTCTGTGACCCTTTAAAAAAAATTATTGTTAAAATGTTTTACCATTTACTATTTATTATTATTATTATTATTATTAAATTTATGTATCACGTGTTTATAAGCAACAACACTTTTTCTTCGTCTAAAATTTCCTGATGCCCGGTAGCAAGGGAATCAATTTCTAGCATATCGGGTAAAATGACGGGTTTAGCGTTAATAACTTATCCCATTATGTTGTCAAGTAAAAAATTATAACGAGTTTAAGGAAGAATATTAAAACTAATGGCCTTCTTTAAAATGCAAAGATCGTAAGACAATTTATATGGAATCACCAGACATTAAATATTATTTCAACCACAAACATTTTATTTATTTTTTTTTTTTTTAAAAAAAAAAAAGCATTATAAAGATTAATTCGTGAAATCAAAAATCTCCAAAACAACTTGATGATATATCGTCAAGTGATTTCGCAACCAAAATAGTGTGTGTTAGGATATACCATTCGTGTGTTTTATGTTTTATAATTACGCCCCAAAAAAGGCATAAATGATGGCCAAAAATTCCAATCAATTTGTACCACAATATAACTTTATTTTCAAGGGCGTAATATTCATAATTGTCCGTGAAAAAATTCTTTTTTTTTCTTTTTTTTTTTTATTAAATGGAAGGTACCACAATACCATTTTCTCAAAATAATTCAAACCAAGATGTAAATTCCCCACTTTATAAATTCATTGAAGGCCAAGCAAAACGGTTTGAAGAGATTGGGAATAAGATGAGCTTGCAATTACACACATTGTATCAAGAATGTAGTAAACAACAAATCGAAACTTTAGGAAAGAATTTAGACGAATTTGAAAATGTTTGTAAAACGTATCGAAAACAAATCGATTATCAATCAGAGTTAATAGATTATCTAATAGCTCGCATCGAAAATTTAGAAATTCATGCAAGCAAGAGAAACCAAGATGTTAGAAAACTTCGAGAGGATTTTAATATTTTGGTCGAATTGAATAAATTATCTATAGGAAATACTTCATTAAATGAAATTGAAGATATGAGAGGGGGGGATGAAGGTTCGAAATTAAGAGATAACGTTGAAAACGATGAGTATGATTTGAAAAGATTGGAGACAACTCACGATGAATCAGCATATGACTCCCCTTTATACTCTACGAATAACCTTTCCTCCTCTTCTTCACAAGTTAGTTTCAATGATCAAGAATTTCAGGGAACTATTTCCAAACTTGAAGAGTTTCATGCTCAAATTATTACGCAAAAAAAAAACCCTCGATGTTGAATTAAAACATCTTAAATCTTTTAGTAATTCTTTGACGACCGTTGATTTAATTCGATATACGCAGACGAGTAAATATAAATCGTTAGATAGCCTAACTCAACGCTTAATAAAAATCCTTATCAAAGGAAAGTTATCAGAAGAAAATTTTCGTTCTCTAAGATCGGTAAATAATCCTACCAAGAGTTTGTTATCAAAAGAATCTGATCAACGAGACGAAGAAGAGGAAGCTAAAGTCGAAGAATCACCAATGCTTAATAAACCTATTGCCACTTCTTCTCAATCTTCTCAAAAAGATCAAGATACTACCCCAATGCTTCAACAACTTCATTTTCAAATTCAAAATATAATTGCCAAAAGAGTCAATGGTCAAATTAAATTAAGAAGTCTCAGGTTTTTAAATGTTTCCTTTACAACGAATGAACTTATTCAATACACAAATACTAATGATTTTAAATCTTTAAACGTACAACCTAAAAGTATAGTAAATACCTTTATTAGAGATCTATTAATGAGAGAATTTAAAATGAACCCGTTAGTGTTTTTACAAAGTCCAGAAGAATACATCAAGAGAGATATAATGCCAAGATTGCCAGCAGAATATAGCAGTTATACTGAATATGCGCGTAGCAAAAAGTTTAATTCTTTATCAACAAAAACAAAAGAAAGGGTTGCATTATTAATTTCATTTAATAAATAGTAAAAGGAAGGTAGAAAAAAACTGACAAAAAACAGAAAAGAAAAAAAAAAATAATAATTCATTACCTTATGCTTTAAGTTAATGATAATTATCTTGTATTTAGTTTGTATAAATAAAGACATTCAAATATTTTATCATTTCCGATCGACAAAAAAACTCGCTAGCTAAAATGATATAGTGTCGGTTTTAAGTCCTTTTGGTATTCTAATTAAATTTATAATGAAAATTTCATTTTCATGGATGTCGATTTTTTTTAATTTTTTTATTTTTCATGGTGTGATTAATGCTGTTATTAAAAAATGAAAGATTCTTTATCAACGGAACGTCCGGCTATTTTAAATGACGAAGCAGATAAAAAAGCAAAAAATACTCATTTATTTGTTAAACAATTATGGATTATGATAAAAAGGAATGCTATATTACAAGTAAGTTTTGAGTCAAATACATAATCTTTTTGTTATTTTGAAAACTCAAATCTTCAAATTCTTCCTTTAGGTTCGATATTATAAATCAACTTTAGCTCAAATTGTAGTTAGTCCTATCCTATTTTTGTTATTGCTTTTTATTTTACAACGAGCTGATAATCGTCAAAGATTACATTCAATCCTTCACCCTTTGCCCTATTCACTTAATGGAGTTAACCATTGTCAAGGACTCGATATAACTTCCCCTTGCATTAATCTTATGTTTACTCCGGATACTGATGAAAATCGTGAAATTTTATTGATTTTTGCCAAAAACAATGAAAGGAGGACGGGAATACCTTTACCTTTTGATAATGTTTCTTTGAATATAAGTAATGAACCAGGTACAACCCTTGGAATGGTACCTGTATCAAGCGCTGATTTTATTTATGATTACACCTTGCAATATCCAAATGTTACAATGTTTGGAATTGAATTCACTACGGTAGAAGGTCCTCCAAAAAATTATCGTTATCAAATTTGGCTTAATGGTACTTTAATGGCGAATAACTCTGATGTTTTTGGCGAACAAGTTTTAGCTTTTCAACGTGGAATCGATGAAGCTATAGTGTCTTATGCATCAGGAGAATCAGCAACGAATCCAGCACCTGCAACATTTAATATCAATTTAAAAGATTGGCCAACGGTTCCTCCCAACACAACCAACACAACTTGGTGATGAAATTATTTCACAATACGGGGCAACGTTCTTTTTTTGTGCAAATATGATCATTTTTATTTCAGTTCTTAATACAATTGTAACTGAGAAAGAAGCAAAATTAAAGGATAGTTTGGTCATGATGGGATTAAAAGTTGAAGTGTATTGGTTAAGTTGTTTCATCTCCAATGCGTGGCTTATGATCATTTGCTCGTTAATAACTTGTTTAGGTGGTCTTGCATTTGGATTCTTCGCTTTCAAGAATTCAAATTTTTTCGTTCTTTTTATAACTTTCCTACTTTTTGGTTTGGCAATGATTGCGTTCGGATTCTTTATCACGACATTCTGTCGTCGTTCTCAAGTCGCAGTTTTAGTTGGTTACTTCCTATTTATCACGGGGTTGCTCTTTGAATCTTCTGTACTCTCCGACGATTTCGTAGGATATATTTGGAGGGATGATGGAAAGAATAAAGTCATTCGGCTCGTATTAATGTTTGTTCCATTTTTTCAATTTCGGAAAAATTTTCTTGGATATTACGAAATTATCTTCGGGAAAAAATGGATTTAAGTGGAAAAATTTATATGAAAAAGTGATGATAAATTCTTACCAGCTCCGATTCAATCTTGGTACTTGTTATTAATGAATATCGCATTTTACGCTATTCTCACTTGGTATTTTGATAAAGTGATTCCCGATGAATATGGTAATAGAAAAAGTCCTTTATTCTTTTTAACGCCAAGTTATTATGGAATTAGAAATTTTGATTTGCAAGGGTGGTAATAAACATTCAGGGGTTGAAGTTGATAGTGATGAGGATGAAGATGTCGCAAATGAACGTAATTTAGCCTTTAATCCCGAGCATGATGCAGCTTTACGTATATGTAATTTAAGAAAAGTTTATAAAAAATCAGTTGCTGTCAAGGATTTATGCTTAACTTAAAAAGAATCAAATTGTTTGGCACTTCTTGGACAAAACGGTGCCGGTAAAAGTACAACGATCAACATCATCTCTTGCGCCGCAAGGGCCACTTCGGGTGATGCACTTCTTTATGGATGTAGTGTTAAAGATGAAATTGGTAAAATTCGTACGATGATGGGAGTTTGTCCTCAACACGATATTTTATTCAATGATTTAACTGCAAGGGAACATATTGAATTATATGCTGGTATCAAAAATATTCCTGCCGAAGAAATTCAAAAATTGGTCGATGAACGTTTAGCAAGTGTGAGGCTTGCAAAGGTGGCCGATAAATTAGCTGGTGAGTTTAGCGGTGGTATGAAACGTCGTTTAAGCACGATCATTGCTACAATTGGTGATCCCAAGATTCTCTTCTTGGACGAACCCACAACTGGTAAGTTTTAGGGTAGTTTGTTTTCTTTTTTAAGTCGTTTTATTAATTTAATTAATTAATCTAAAAAAAAAAAAAAAGAAAATTAAGGTTTGGACCCCGTAAATCGTCGTCACGTATGGAGTTTTATTGAAAATTTCAAACGTGGACGTGTGATTATTCTCACGACCCATTCTATGGAGGAAGCGGACGTTCTCGGTGATCGCATTTGCGTTATGGCTCATGGGAGCCTCCGCGCGCTTGGAAATTCGATAAGACTTAAGAGGAAATTTGGTAGTGGTTACAGGGTATCCTTGGTAACGAGAGTTGAAGATAGCGCGAGATTAAAACGATTGATGGAAAAGAGAATTCCCGAAGCTATCTTAGAAGATGATTCGGCTGGATCATTATTATATGAATTACCAAATTCCGCCTTACCTAAATTACCTACTTTGATTAATTGGTTTGAAGAAAATGAGGAAAAAAGTTATGTTGAACCGACAAGAAATTGCTTAAAGCTTGGGGAATTAGTCAAAAGTCTTTAGAAGAAGTTTTCTTGAGATTGTAAGTGCTTTTATATTTATCTAATTTTTTTTTTTATGAAAACAGGGACTTTACTAATTCGTGATTAAACAAGAAAGTTGTGTAATGTATATGATATTTGAAAATTTTTCCTTTTACTCTTTTAAATTATACATTTAATGTTGCTATTATTATCATCTACCAATTTCCTTTATTGTTCTGCTAATTTCGTATTTTTGTTATAATAGTTTCTCTATAATTTAGAATTAAATGTTCTTTGTATTTTTTCAATAAGTCTTTATTTAATTTCAATAATAAATCAATACAAATCGCTGAATTTGTACGAGGCTGATTATCTTCGTTATGTCTGAACTACGATATTGTCTTCAGAAAGTTCAAAGTATTTCTAGCGAAAACGTTTTAAACTTTGTACTCCTGCTAAATTATTATTTTCGGTCAACATAAATTTATCGGCAATGGACTTAATCCTTATTTGTTCTAAAAGAAAAACAGAAAAATGACAATCAGTAGTTGGAAAACGGACTGTTCAGTTGAAATGAGTCATTTATTAATTAATAATAATGTTTGGTGTTTCTTTCTGGATGCGAAAAGTCCGAAAAAGGCATTAACTGATTGGGATGGATTTCAATTACATATTTTACATCCTGGTAGTATGCTTAGGGAAGTACGAATCAATATGCTTTTATAATTAAACAATAAGTAAGTGCGTCAAATGAAATCATCGCAAATGTACGCGGCAGTGTCAAAAATTAAACAATTTTTATTTATTTATTTAACATGCTACATTATGCGGTAAATCGTCAATATTATATCATTGATATGTAAATAAATAACTACTATCATGAGATCCTTAAACTCATTTTATATATTTATCCTGATCCAAATTTCCACAGAAAATTAAAATTATTCGTGGTAGTAAATTCACATGAAAAATTACCTCATATTTACTTCATTTTTTTTATTAAAAAAAAGAATTTAAAGCTGAAGCATAAATAAGTTTCTTTTTCCCAAGAAAAAAAACAAAAAAAAGGTATCAAAGATGACAATAGAATCGATTTGTATCCTTGAAGCGGATCGACCAACAGGTGTTGCAACGATTAAAGCAATATTCGAAACAGGCTCAGAGAAATCAAGCCAAAAAGCTCGTGTGACCGCTGGTGTTTCACCTAATGCTTCAGAAGAAGTTCGTGAAGAATTAAATAAAATTGGAGCCAAAGTATTCGTTATTGATGATCCAAATAATGTTACGTTTAATGATGTTGCAAAACTTCAAATTATTTTGTCTCCCGAAAGATTGGATGCTGCTCAACTTTACATCAATTCTGCTGTGAAACATCGAGTTCCATTCGTCTTGTTACAGTCTGTGATTAATGCCGATGAGAGAGATGATTATTTTGGTAAAAAATTTGGAGAAATTGAAAATCAACTTAAGGAATATGCTGTCAAAGAGTGTCATCCTGTTGAAGGAGGACCTGAAGCTCAAAGAGAAGCTCACATCCATCGCCATTGGTAAATGAACAATTCAATAATGTACAAATTTTTTTTTTTTCCTTTTGATAAATGAACCCAATTATTTTTTATGAAATCGGAAGGTCAATCTTGAGAATTGGATTTTATGATCATTATTTGCTGTCGTTCAAAGATTGTATCAGGAAAGGTGTCTTGGATTTGCCTATCGGATCTGGTGAGGTAAATTGCTCATCACATCGAAAAATTTTGATTTCTTTTGCTTTTCCTGATTTTCTTTTAAATGAATTACTATTTTTTTGGTTTTTTAAAAAAAAAGTTTGCACCTGTGTCAGTGGAGGATGTTGGTAAAGCCTCAGCACATATTCTCGACAAATCCGAGAATTTTTACAATAAAACAAACACAATCACGGGTTCAGAATTATTTGACGGAAACAAATTGGCTGAAAGATTAACTCAAACTCTTCATCACAATTTATCCTATAAACCGTCGGAGGATATAGAACATATTAAAGATGATCATATTAAGAAATATATTCAATCTCCTCTTGAATCTGAAGCAACGTTTCATTTGATTTCATTAATTAAAGAGGATAAATTGAAATTTGTTAGTCCTAATTTTATTGAAATTGAAAAATTCAAACAGAAAACTGTAGAGCAATTCTTTTTGGAACATAAGGAGGAATTTCTTGGTAAACAAGAATAATAAAAAAAAATTTTATTAATTTTTCTGTTTGAAAATTCGTTGTTATCTTTAGAACAGGTTTTATTTTTTTTCCTTACGTGTATCGCGCTATAACGAATGAATAAAAAATATTTGTATGTCTTCTACAAAATTTAATTCATAAACGCTGATCCTTTTACAATATCAAACCTTTCAATGTGATCAAATAAAAAAAGTCGGTAAAGATCAATAATATTATTTTTTCTTATTATTATAATGATTTATATATAAAGTAAGATTTATATCAAATATTATCAAATATTTTAAAAAAAAATTTTGATTACTTATTAAAAAAAAAAAAAATTCATATATATAAAATTATTCAAATTTTATGTATTTTTAAAATTGATATATAAATTATAAATTTAAAAAAAAAAAATGAGATTTTAAGTATTATAGTTTCAAAAATATTATTATAATATAATTTCAAAAATTTAATATTTTAATAAATTAAAAAAAAAAAAAAAAAAATATTAAATAAGGTTTTTTATTAATAATAAAATTTTGGTTTAATAATATTATTTTTAATTCATATCTTATGTTTAGCATTGAGATTAATTTAATAATTAGTATAATTCAAATTAAACATAGATATAGATATATTATAATTAATGTTAAAGAATTTATATATAAATAATTAATAATAAATTTTACATTTATGAATTATTTTTAGATATTTATTTAACTAAATTATTATGAATTATAATTTTATTTTAATAATTAATCATTTAAAATAATAAAATAATGGGTGTATTCACAAATTCAATTAGATTGGATTGGATTGGATTTTCTAATCCATTTAGATTAGATTGGATTTCATATAATCTAATCCGTGTTCACAAATAAATGGATCGAATTATGAATTTTGTATAACATTATAAAAAAAGAGTTAACGTTATTTAAATTAAATAAAAATTTGAACAAGAAACATCTGATGATAACATTGATTTATCAATTTTTCATGCATATATAAGTGTTATTGAAAGAAATAGTTCTTTAAGAACAGGTTACAGGCGAGCAAGAAGGACACGTAGTATTTGTTGGTTTAATAACATATGTAATAATTGGGAAAATGTAGAATTTAAGCGGCATTTTAGAATAAC